GTAGAAGGACTGCGAGAGCAACACAGTGAGACCATGTCTTTACAAAAAAGTCAAAAAATTAGCCAGGCATGGTGGCACATGCCTGTAGTTCTAGCTACTCAGGGAGCTGAGGTCGAAAGAGTACATGAGCCCAGGAGGTCAGGGTTGCAGAGAGCCATGATTGGGCCACTGCCCTCCAGCCTGGGCAACAGAGTAGGACTCGACTCAAAAAAAAAAAAAAAAAAAAAAATTCTGTAGTCCCACACTAGACCTAACAAATAAAGAACTCTGTGGGGCCTGGCAATCTAAGCTTTAATAAGCTCTTGACAGGCCAGATGCAGTGGTTCATTCCTTTAATCCCAGCACTCTGGAAGGTCGAGGCGAAAGGACTGCTTGATCAGGAGTTTGAAACCAGCCTGGGCAACATGGTAAGACCTTGTCCCTACCATTAAACAAACAAACAAAAAAATTGCCAGGCCTGATGGCACTTGTCTGTACTCCCAGCTACTTGGAAGGCTAAGGCGGAAGGATCACCTGAGCCAAGGAAGTGAAGGTTATGATAGCCGTAAGCATGCCACCGCACTCCAGCCTGGGCGACAGAGTGAATCTCCAACTCAATAAATTAATAAATTAAATAAATAAATTAAATTAACTAAGCTGTCCACACGATTCTGATGCACAGTAAAAGTTGAGAAGAAGCCGGGCTCGGTGGCTCAGCCTGTAATCCCGCGCCTTTCGGAGGCTGAGGTGAGTGGATTGCCTGAGCCCGCGGGTTCGAGACCCGCCTGGGCAGGCAAGAACCTCATCTCTACAATAAATCAAAAAATTAGCCGGGCGTGGTAGCGCACGCCTGTAATTCTGGCTACTTGGAAAGCTGAGGAGGAAGGATCGCCGGAGCCCAGCAGGTCGAGAGTGCGGTGGCCAGGAGCGGCCACTGCACTCCAGTCTGAGTGACAGAGTGAGACTCCAACTCAAAAGAAAAAAAAAAGTTGAGAAGAACTCAAATTTCAGGTTCTATCACTTCTTCCCTCCCACCATAATGTCCAATCTTTTCCACTTACTAATTCAAAATTTCATATTCGTAATCTTGAAAATTGAGCTTGGCCGGGCTCGGTGGCTCAGTCTATAATCACAGCACTTTGGGAGGCTAAGGCAGTGGACTGCCTGAGCCTGTGGGTTCAAGACTAGCCCGGGAAACTTGATGAGACCACATCTCTATAATAAATCAAACATTATCTGGGTATGGCAGCACGTGCCTATGGTTCCAGTTACTTGTGAGGCTGAGGCGAATGGATTGCTGGAGCCTAGCAGGTGGACGCTGGGGTGGCCTGGAGCATGCCACTGCACTCCAGCCTGGGCGACAGAGTGAAATACCAACTCAACAACAACAAAAAAGCCTGGTCACAGTGGTATAGGAACTGTGGCTACCTATGGGAGTATAAATATCATCAAGCATCTCCCTTTAGTTTCTTTATGCATGATTTCGACGTGGTTTGACTCCACTAAAATCCATGTTGAAACCTGATCCCCAATGTGGCACTGCTGGGAGGCGGGGACTAGTGAGAAGTGTTTGGGTCATGGGGGAGAATCCCTCATGAATAGATTAATGCTATCCCTCAGAGGCCAGTTCTTGCTCTCCTAGGACCAAATTTCACTTGACCCATGAACAACAAGTGTTCAAACTGCATGAGTCCATCTGTATGCAGAGTTTCTTACACCTCTGCCACCAGCCCTTTCTCTTCCTCCTCAGCCTTCTCTACATGAAGACCACAAGGACGATGATGACCTTTATGATGATCCAACTCCATTTAATGAATAGTAAATGTATTTTCTCTTCTTTATACGTTTTTTCATAACACTTTCTTTTCTCTGGCTGAAAGTCACTGAAAGAATACAGTATATGACACACATAATACAGGTGTTGTTCAACTTTATTATGTTACTGGTAAGGCTTTGAGTCAACAGAAGTACCAGTGGCTAAGTGCTGGAGGAGTCAAAAGCTGTATGTGGATTTCTGACTGCAAGAGGATATGTCAGTACCCCCAAATCCCGCATTGTTCAAGGGTCAACTACAGTTCCCAACAAAGCAGATTGTTCAAAGCACTACTTCGGTTTGTCTCTCTTGCTTCCTCCCTTACCATGTGATTTCTTTACACATGCCACTCTCCACTACTCCCTTTCCCCTTTCTACCATGAGTTGAAGCTGCTTGAGGCTACCACCAGACGGACTAAGACACAGGGATTCTTATTTACGTTTATCTTGTCATTTAGTCATCTAATTTCTGGTCATCTACCAAAAACATATGACAAACAATTAATACTTTTTCTTAAAGAAATTCCACATTCAGTACATCTACCTTTCTTAAGTAAAGAAGCGTAAGTCTCAAATTCCCAAGGACAACCATTTCATATCACACTTAGGTGCACCTAAACAGCATACCACAGTTAAAAATATATTTATAGTTTTATTTTTACAACCTTGAAATGTGAATTTACTCAGACTTCAAGGAATGCTACTCCATAAGATTAAAAAAACAGATTGAAATGGTACATACATTATTTCAAAGAATACACAGATACTTACAGCTTATCATGAAGCAATTCTCCCAACTTTAATTCTAAAAAAAAAAAGAAAAATCTTTTAAATACCACATTTATATTTAACTTTTAAGTCTAAGAAGAAAAAAAAAGACATTGGCACCTTAACAATATGTCTTTGCCTTACTTTTAAATTCATTTTCTAAGAAATGGTTGTTTCTAGTCAATTACTAATATAACGCTTTCTATACAGTAAGTGTCTACTACTAATCAAGAATAATACAAATCTTGTAGTTTAGGGAAAAAAATTAAATTTTTGAGAATTATTATTTATTTTATTTTATTTTTTTAGTAGAGTCTCGCTCTGTCGCCCAGACTGGAGTGCAGTGGCCACTCCCGGCCACCGCAGCCTCGACCTGCTAGGCTCCAGCGATCCTTCCACCTCAATCTTCCGAGTAGCTGGAAGTACAGGTCTGCGCTACCATACCCAGCTCATTTTTATTTATTGTAGAGAGGAGGTCTCGCCAAGTTGCCCCAGCGGGTTTTGAACCTGCGGGTTCAGGCAATCCACTCACCTCAGCCTCAGCCTCCCAAGGCACGGAATTACACCCACCGAGCCCGGCCAAATTTTGAGAATTATTAAGTGACCCATCATGGTACACAATATTCCAATCAGAATTATCAAACTGATCCTTAAAAGTCACTAGTATATTTGCCTGAGTCAAATTTTCCATAGAACCAACTGCTATTTCTCAAGTTGGCTTTAAACCATTTGGTATTCATAAGCTAATCTCCTTTTGTTTCAGGAAGAGTGTCAAAACCATTTTTAAAAAATAAGGTAGAAAGCACTTTAGTAGGCAGCTAATCAAAACAGTGCTCATTCCCTATAAAGCAGCAGTCCTCAATTTTGGCAGCATTATCAGAATCAACTGGGACATTTTCTAAATCTCAAAGTAGAAACAGCATCTCAAACCAATGAAATCTAGGGGTGGGATCCATGCAGTGCTTTAAAGCACTCCAGATTACTGTAACGTGCAGGTAAGTTGGAAACCACTGCTACCGCATGCTAAATAGATTAAATACTGACAGCCAAATCCTGTGGAAGGTGTAAAGAAGTAGTTTTCAGAATTGGATTCACTCCTTCCTAGTTAATTTTAACTAATTTTTAACAGCTCCATGTCACAAAACAGATAAATGAGAAACATGTATCAAAATATGACAACAAAGCATAATACAGCATACACCAATAACCCAACAATCCACAATGAGCAGTCTCAGAACCTAGTAGTCTATGATGTTAAAATTATGTTTGTAATATTACTAAAACATTCTTTTGTCTTTTTTATTGTACTGACAATCACACTGAGGACGCAAAAGAACAGTAAAAAGGAAAAAAAAAAAAACAATGGTAGGCAAAACCGCCACATTAGCTTCAGCACAAATCAAAACAGTAGTTAGTCCCAAGCTAAACTAATAATGTATTCTTCACAACCATGCACTTGCAGGTTAAAAAGACAAAACATTTTTTTCGATCTCACTGAAGAATGTCCTTGATGATCACTATCCATTAGGGAAATGCAAATTAAAACGACAACAATACCACCTCTCACCCATGAGGTGCTACAAAACACACACACACAGAGGGAGAGAGAGAAACTAACAAGTGTTATGAGGACGTGGAGAACTTGGAACGCTTGTGCACTGTTGGTGGGATGGTAAAATGATACAGACACAGTGGAAAACAATATGGTGGGTCCTCAAACAACTAAAAGCAGAATCACCATGGGGTCAAGGCAATTTAGATTGAGCATATACCCAGTAGAATTGAAAATAGGGTCTCAAAGAGGTATCTGTGCACCCACGTTCACGGTAGCACTACTCACAACAGTTAAAACATGGAAGCAATCCAAGTATACATCAACAGAACGGGTAAGCAAAACGTGGTAAACACATACAATGGAATATTATTCAGTATTTAAAAGGAAAGAAATTCTGGCATGCTACAACATGGATGAACCTTGAAAACATTATGCTAAGTGAAAAAAGCCAGTCAAAAACAAATACCGTATAATTCCACTTATATGAGGTACCTAGAGTAGACAAAACTCAGAGAGACATACTATAGAATGTCCACTGTATGTCCTGCCGTAGATTGGCGGTTGCCGGGGCATGGAATAATGAGGAGTTACTGACTAATGGATATAGAGTTTCAGCGTGACGAGACGAAGAGAGTTATTTATGGATGTGGATGGTGGTGACGGTAGTACACTATGAATCTAGTATATACTACGAAACTGAATACTTAAAAACGGTTAAGATGGCAAACTTTATGTGAGAGGGAGAAAAAAAGAATGACATGGATGAAAGTAGTAAAAATTATTCATCTCAGGTCCAGGACCAGGATGTGGCAAGTGAGGTACCTACAGAGGAAAAAGGAAGGAAGCACTCACTCGCAGTTCCTGCTTTCTTAAATTTTGCATCATAGGTTTCTCTCTCACTTCACCCTAGTGCCAGCCCTGACTAACCTCATTCCGTGTCAACCTATGAATACAAGTCTTTCTAATATTTTATTTGATGTACACAAATACCTCTGCTGTGCATCAAAGTAGAATGGTTTTCTCAAGGAAAAACACACAATCATGGAACACTACTTTTACTTGAACAATCAACAAACACACTATGATTCTTCAGACTTGAGAATACAGCTTTTTTTTCCCAGAAATAAATGAGTTTGTCACTTCAAGAAAAACAACTGGCAAAGTTTGTTGCCAGTGATAAAATGTGAGCTTTCAAGCAAAAACTTAAACTTTGGATAGCATGTGTCTGCCACTGTTAAGCTTGACAGTTTCTGAATACTTAGAGGATTTTCTGTATTGGTGGTGATAGTAACAAATGTGCTTTTTAATAGTGTATACGGAAATATGTTAACGTTTGGAAGATCTGTTTAACTCACCAAACCAATATTTTCCAAAAGGCAATGCATGCTGCAAAATTAGGCATAGATTGAAGAGTCATTCAAAGTTCAAGAAAGAGCAATGAATTTTAATGTTAACACAGCATGAAGAGTCCATTGAGATGGTTTCGGGATCTATACCACAACTAACCTTTCAGACTCTGCAGGCTGTTAAGTTTTTGGGGTTGCATCATAGAAGACTATTTACAATTATACGAAAGATTCCTCCATTTTTCAACTACAGATGCAGAAAGGTCAGATTTACTTTATATACTTCAACAACACATGGCAACAGACTGAATTACAGAAGCAGAAATGAAAATTCAGTTGTCCTCTATCATGCCAGACATTAAAGAGATTTGCAAAAATATAAAACAACTCTAATCTTCTAAATTACTTTTGTTTTGAAAAATACAATTTTTTTTTTTGAGTTGGAGTCTCACTCTGTCGCCCAGGCTAGAGTGCAATGGCACGCTCACAGCCACAGACACGGCCTGCTGGGCTCAGGCGTTTCTTCTGCCTAAGCCTTCCAAGTAGCTGGAACTACAAGCATGCGCCACCATGCCCAGCTAATTTTGTTAAAATTATTGGAGAGATGAGGGCTCACCAAGGTGCCCAGCTGGAATCTGTGAGGTCAGGCAATCCTCTCACCTCAACCTCCCAAAGTGCTGGGATTATAGGCGTGAGTCACCATGCCCGGCCGGAAAACACATTTTTTTTTCACAAAAATGTTATTCATGTTAACATTCGTGTTTAAATATTATTGGTGTTTTTAAATAAACCAATATTTTTTAATTTTCTCAGTTTTAAATTATAATACAGTAAACACCTATATGTGTGTAATACACAGTAAACACCTATATATGTGTAATACACAGTAAACACCTATATATGTATAATACACAAAAAGACAAGAATCTTAAAGTCTATATTGGGGTCCTGAGACAAAAAAAAGTCTGAGAATTGTTATAATAACCTATCACATATTTAGAGCAGACGTGGGTACCAGATAGCTTCGTCAAACTCAAGAACACTCCACAGATCTGGAAGCAAGGAAATGACTCTTGACCTTGGTTTCTTCATCTGTAAAATGAGAGGCTGGACTAGATGACTCAGAAGATTCCTTAGAACTCCAGTAACCAGACCTCTCACTGGTAAATTATAAACAGTAAACTTTAAAATTTACCCACAAAGAAGAGTAAATGCTTGATCAGTAACTGGATATAGAAACAATTTTGTATAGCATTATAAAGGGGATAAATTAGACCCCATTCAACCAGGCAGCATTTCTCAAAAAATGTCGTGAGAAGCATGTTTTCCATTATCGCTAGCCATCAGAGGAATAACAGCATCACACATCTTGAAGCCTCTGAAAAACTCCACTATATACTAAAAAATAATAGAACGAGAGTCAAAAAGGCGAGGACCTTTGTAGTGTTACCATGTGAAATGGTCTTGGGGATCCCGGCAATTTCAGACCACACCAAACTACTGTACTAAAGGTAATGATTAAAACTGACTTACATGATTTTTTTTTTTTAAAAGCTATTTCTACTTTTAAGTTAAAGGCTTTATAGGTTCAGCAGTATACAGCTTAAATCACTCAGAGCAAACGAAAAAATTAGAGGAAAACTTGGATTAATAGCTGTAATGATTCAAAATTTTTTGCCAATCATGATGATAAACCACCCTTTTTAAAAATTTCATCCTTACTCTCATACAAGGCATGAAGACATCTCATATAAGGCAGGAAAAGATATGCTGTGAGAGAAAATTTAACTTCCTGTTGTGGTTTACAGGATTTCATGACATCTAACTGAGAAAACCCTTTTTTGGTCTTAGAAATAAACAATGAGGGTGAGGTGGCTGAAGCCTGTAATCCCAGCACTTTCGGAGGCCTAGGTGAGGAGACTGCCTGAGCCCATGGGTTCGAGAACAGCCTGGGCAACTTGGCGAGACCTCATCTCTACAATAAAACAAAAAATTAGCCAGGCGTGGTAGCGTGCGCCTGTAGGCAGGTCGACGCAGGGGTGGTGTGAGTGTGCCACTGCACTCCAGCCTGGGCAACGGAGTGAGACTCCACCTCCATAAACAAATAAACAATCAATCATAACTTCTGAATGGAGT